GGACTCGCGCGGATCACCTATCTATCGGAATGGACCGCACCGTTAAGAATGGAACAAAGTTCGCGGGTCAGTACCCGGCCGAAATTGCAGCGATGTACGAGAATATCGAGACCACACCCGATAACCTCATGCTCTGGTTCCACCACGTCAACTACACGCAGCGTCTGCACTCCGGCAAAACCGTCATCCAGCACTTCTACGACGCGCACTACGCCGGCGCCGAGACAGCCCAAACCTTCGTCTCGCAGTGGGAGTCGCTCGAGAAACGCATCGACGCGGAGCGCTACCAGCACGTCCTCACCCGCCTCATCTACCAAGCCGGGCATTCTATTGTCTGGCGCGACGCCATCAATAACTTCTACCATAATCTCTCCGGAATCCCCGACGAGAAGCAGCGAGTGGGGCACCACCCCTGGCGTGTCGAAGCGGAAGACATGCAGCTGGATGGCTACGTGCCGTATGCCGTTAGTCCGTTCGAGACCGCGTCCAACTTCACCGCTATCGTCACTGCATCGAATTCGACCACGGGAACGGCTATTGTCCAGCTGGACTTCAAGACAGGCACGTACGATTTGGGCATCAACTACTATGATCTGTACGGGGGCAAGTCTCAATGGACGGTGTATCTGAACGATGGCGTTGTGGGACAATGGCAAGGGAACAGCGAGGATGTGCTGAGCCATACGCCTTCGATTTATCTGGATGGACACTCGGCTACGCGCATTACCTTCCGGGACGTGAAGATCCGCAAGGGGGATCGGCTGAAGATTGTAGGTAAGCCGGATGGAGTGGAACCGGCGCCGCTGGACTATGTGGTGTTGCTGCCACCGGGAATTGTAGATTAAGCGGTCTTAGATACAATAGCGATAGTGACTCAATTTGGATTCTATGGATATTATAGAGCTGATCATCAGGCCCGCGGCTGGGCACGTAGAATGGTTGTCCTCTTGCAGGTGGTCTGAAGTGAGACATTCATAAGATGGACAAGTATAGTCATTGACGAATAGCCATTCAGAGCGATCTAGACCCTGAAGTTCCGCGATGGTACCAACCACGGCCAGAACGATACGTAAGGGCCGGCACGTATTCGTCAGGGCTTGCGCATGCGACCCTATTGGGACGAACGCTTGTCGTGTGCCGGACGAGGACACTCGCGCCTTGGTGCAACACTACGCGACCGCACCGCACCTTAATTCAACAAATGGTGCGGGAGGTATTGCGCATAGCGAGAGCAGATGAAGTGCAGGGTGCAGGATGCTGTGAGATCAGGCATCTACTTATCTGATGCCATACGAAATTCCTTCCTGAGAACCGCCTCAGCACGCTGGTCCTCATATACACGTATCAGAATAAAGCCCTTGGTGATTATTTCTACTACATGCTCTCAAGGTTTAAGATGCCGACGAAAGCCGAGTGCGTGTCCGTGACAGTCATGTCATGTCGAACTCCGACATAGTATTCAGCAACAAGGGGTCACTGCACGTGGGATCAATATACGCTGATAGCAGGCCCGGCGAGAAAAGAGACTGAACATCCCCGCCCATCCCTTGACCGCCTGCACTGTACCACGCATTCTGATCGGCCGTGGAATCTTTGTAAGCGTCATTCCTCGATGCAGGAGGCAGACCGGCCGCTCCCTGGGGATGCTGCGATTCGATCCAGGAGGTAAACGAGTCAGCCGCTGCACGTCGAAGGTGCTGCTGCGCCTGGCGCGCAAGAGGCCAGCTAGAGCTTAGAATTTTTAAGCATCCCAGCACGAGCACCACGCGGTTGCAATGATGGTCTAGACACTCTGGGGAATGGATGCGGCTGGTTGCCAGCTGAACCATGCCACAGAGGACGAGCGGGGACACAATCAGCGGGCTGTATCCCTGTGCGCTTGGACGCATAGATAGAAGATTGGAGAGTTGCTTCGAGGCTTCTGTTGCTTTCACATCGTGGACGTGTCGGGTGCATGATGGTGATAGACGCAGAGGAGTTGTCGGGCAGATGGGAACGTGGAGGTCAGGAAACTCGGGGCGCAAATTGCTGCGTGGAAGGTGGAGCAGCATTGCGGCGTAATGAATGGTCGTGTGTGCCTGGAAAAGCATCTCGTCGACGTTGCCGTACATATCAACTATGTCCACCTTGTGCGTCGGTAGGTGGTTCGTCCAGCTGATGAGCGCATTCTCCACGGCCTGCAGGTGGTCGCGGTGCGTCTCGGGCAGACTGTTCAACACGAGCACGCGGGCCAGGATGAGTGCTGCTTCGATGCGATAACTGAAGGATGAATATCGCGAAAAACGACCATCTTCGTCTTCTTCTAGAAATACGCGCATCTTAAACGCCTTAAATGTCGCCGGAGGCGGAATCTCCTTTCGATTGGCGTAGACATACTCCTCACAAGGTAGGGGGACGTCGTAAGGTACATTGCCGCAGCGAAGGATGACCTTGGGTGGTCGCGCCGCCATGAACACGTCGACAATGAACAACTCCCACCAGGTCCGCCGTAAACTTTCCGCTTCGATTTCGTTTCCGTTGGAGAACGTTGTCGCAAAATCTCGACGGAACATTCCCAGTTCCAGGGCGATATCGGTTGCTTGGGAGAATGCTCTCTCCGCCTCGGTGCACTCACTTCGCGCACACAGAAAGATCGAATACAACAACAAAGCCTGTACCATACAGGGCGTTCGATCACCAGCATGGCTCAGTTGCATCGTCGCGGCGTCCTTGAAAGGGTCGCCAGAGACCTGCAGCGAGTAATGACTACCGATGAATCGCACCACATGCTGGAGAAAACTGGGATAATTCCGCTCCTCATATGACGAGGCCGGAACCAGAATTGGATGCGCATTGTGGAAATGCTCATAGTAAAGACGTACCAACCGAGAATCTGATAGCACAGGTTGTATATTCTGCGGTGAGTTCCTGGAGTCGATTGATGAAACCTCTTTACCGGTAACAGGGGGACTGGTTGGGCCTGCGGTCGGATTCCCACCCGCTGATTCCGACAGTGGAGTCTGATACACCATGCCTGGGAAGTCTGAAGTTACTCCCTGCAGAGGCTGAATCAGGCTGCTACGGGGTTTGCGTCTGCCGCCCCTTCGCGATGGGAGATAGTTGCACGGCAGACGAGCATCTAAGCACCGGGAACACGAGGGCTTTTTGGCGTCGCATTTGATGTGGTGTTTGCGGCACTCGGTGCACGCCAGAGGAGAGGGACGCAGAGCAGTGCCTTGTGGAGAAGCCGTTCTTCTTCTTCTGTCGCTCATGTCGGGCTATCTGCATCCCCTGGTATCAGAGGTATCATATCTGAGGCATAAATAATATCACCGGTGGCAGTGCAGACGAGGAATGAACGAGGCTCACCTCCATTTCAGGGATTTCGGCGACCCAATCGGCGATTGGTTGCTGCCTGAATCCGAAGGCCGAAATTGCCATCGTACGATGAGTCAGCATCACTAAAACCTGTCTAGTCCGGATGTGGATGGACCTGCCTGGGTCATGTGAGTGACATGTGTATGCCTCAGGCACATACTCAGGCATGAACTACCTAGTGGGCATTTCCCCTCCAGTCCCTTCGCTCCAGTTTCTCTCATGTCTGGCATTACGGGTTCAGGGATGAGTCTCTGATTGAAGAGGAAAATGAGCTGAATCGCGCAATCCAACTCAATGCTGACCTAGCTGACAATTACAATAAGCTCCAAGAGCGACTTTGATATCTCCTTGATGAGAAGATCACTACTAAAAGTCTTCATTAAATGACATGGCAAGTGACCAGAGTAAAAGGCCAAAATGCTGCACAGATACTGGGACTGTCGAGACCGGGCTCAGGGACGCTAGCTTGGCATTCAAAATTGATATAGAAACGCTCCAGATGCTCAACACATTTCTCATAGGTCGAGCTTTCAAAGCTTCAACCAGGCAAGGGATTATCTAAGAATCACAGATACCAGAGCCCCTGTAGCGTGCCTACAAGAGTAGATGCTGTGGCCGTCATGAGCAAGACCTAGGCTTCCATTCTTCTAGCAGCCTTTGACTTCTCCTTATCATTATGGCACTCTTCTTAACAGCTCACCAGTGGACAAAGATGCTTTACAAAATCAATATGAAGTAAATAAGCCATCAGGCCGCCTTATTGCATTATCATATAGTCCGTCAAGGATTTTAAGGATCATTGGCAAGTGGCGCTTGAGTGAAAGTAAATGAGACATAATACTATGATCAGTCTCAAAACTTCAGGCAACAGCCATTCTCTTCTGTTACACTACGACATTAGCTAAATTACTAAACATAAAGCCAAACGGCTGGCACCCCCTATACACGCGCTCATCTCTCCTGATGAAGGAGAATCAGGCAACAGAAATGCCGCGTGAGTGGGGAGAGATCATCCAGGTAGCATCAGGTGAAAAAGATAGTAACTCTTTAGTATCCCTAGACTTAGTTACTGAGGGATAGTAGAAAGAGTGCTGTACTCTTCTTTTGCTTAATCTTACATACACCCACTTAATTAACTTCCTTCTCCTATATTACTATTATTATCTACTTCTTAGGTGTGCTCTTCTATATACTATGTAGAGAAGGTAGCACTGCATTCCTACCTCCTCTTATAATAATTATATATCTACTTAGTTACTCCCCCTTTCCACTGCCTTGCACCTCTTAGTCTTAGCTAACTCTTAAGGTTAAATATTTGGCCATACTCAATAAGGCTTGATCCAATCATGTGAACTCACCTAGTTGGAATGCTCCCACTATTTATTTAATAATAAATATGCACTTGTATTATTTTATCCCAGGCGATATTCCCGTGGCCGTGGGGTAGCACATAATTCGTGGGGGAAGAATATAGGTTCAGCCCTACGGGGCAACGCCAAGACTTTGAGAAGCGGATCCATCTACGGATCCATAGAGCCACCGCCTTTTCCCAGTGACATATCCCCAAAAGTCCCACATTCCCTGTTCTTTCAGATTGATTCCTTGCTCTCCAAACTCCATCTAACAATGCCATATCAAGAGCAATGGCATCAACGTCCGCGTCAGAGCCAGAAGTCAAGGCCTCTTTCATTTCCCACCCTACGTCAACAACATCGTCAACATCAACGCTAACACCACCCCCGCCAACAGTAACACTCACACGGAAAAACAAGCGTCTTCACCTCTCATCCTTCACCTCCCGATACAGAAACAGCCTCCTCGCCAGCGTTGGCTACCTCGAGCTCGCCAACGCTGGCGATTTTGCCGCTAACGTCTGGAATGAGGTCCCCGTGCCCACACACGCCAAGATCTGTATGGGAATATTCGGCCCCATCGTGCTGCTGATGACCATCTTCGCCGCGCGGGATTTCGCTCTGAGCTGTGCAAATGTCCTTCTGCTACTATCTGAGCGGAAGGCCATTAAATCCTCTCAACATGCCACCTCCACCCGCCCGGAGAAAAGGGAAAAGGAGAGGGAGGGCGTCCTAGGCGTCAACAAGCGCGAGCTCCTAACCGAGCTCCTGGATCGCATCGTCATGGATGTATTACTTGGCGCTGGCGCTCTAATCGTCGGCACGGGCACGATTATGGCCATCTTCGGCGATAATCCGGCCGTCTATGAAGCCTCGAATTTGCTGAGCGGGTTTGTGGGGAATGCGCCGGCGGCCGTCTTTGGGGTGGTGAATGCGGTGTGGTCTKCGTATTTGGTGTGGAGGGTGGAGAGAAGGGTGCGCGCTGTTGCTGGTCCGGCTGGGAATGCGCTGCTGGGGGAGAGAGAACGGAGCAGAATGACGACCCGATACAGGATGTTGCAGTGGCATGGGATTGTGAACGGGTTGAGTGGGTTGGTGGCCGGGATGGCGAGCATGGTCACGGCGAAGATGTGGTGGGGGTATGTGGTTTTGGTACCGTGTGCTGTGGTGGTGATTGCGTCGAATTGGTTCTGGAGGGCGAGATTGGGGTATGATCGGGTCCTATACACCCAGAGCCTCAGGGAAGGGCATGGGGGTGAGAAGGAGGATGAAGAGGGAGGAGAGGCAGCGGCTGAGTTGGTAAAGACTGTAGATCTGCAGGCGAGATTGCCGGAGCTGATCGACGGCGGCACGCTGGATTCGCTGATGGATTTCATCGTGCAGAACGGAATGTTCGACTTCTTTTGCCAGCGGCTGATCAGAAGATGGAAGGATCATCGTCTGTTCATGGTTGATGCGTCTACTCAAGGCATTCAGATTGCGCCCAAGGACTTCATGGCATTCCCGGAAAGGGAGCAAACCCGACTGCTGGACGAGTGTCGGTGCTTTCTACAAGGCGACGGGATGAGGATTCTCGTGCACCGCGAGCGATATCTGCTGGAGTTGGTCGGAGAGATCATCTGGACTCAGCCTCAATCATAGACGGGACTGGCAGGCCAGTCCATACTTACATAGAACATAATTTACACAAGGGATGCTAAAAACTGAACAAGCCACTCCTTCAATTGCCATACGGATACACCCCCAACATTGCCATAAACTGCAGCTGTAATGCCAATCACCACCTATAGAATCCCAACCCATCCTTTACTTTACGTAGGCTGGACTTATTCGCAGATCGCTTCGGTCCAATGAACTAAGGAATAACCAATTGATGAACGTCGTCGTCGTTGCTGTCAACCTGTTCATCCTGAACCCAGTAGGGACCTGTGTGGAATATCTGGCCCTCTCCAATTTCGAGAGAGTCCTCGACTCACTAGGAATCGGAAGCCCTCACTAGACAGGTGGGCCGTACTTCCTGCTATGACCGATGCTTCTGGCCCTGGACATCCTCTGTGTGCTCCGTTTACTCACGGCTACTATGCTCGTCTCCTAGCTTCTTAACACAACGCCTCTTTCTTATAAGAGACGCACGCGTATATCAGGACTCTCTCATCAGTCGGCAGAAGTCGTCATCTTTGAAGTCCCCAGGGTCAGTGCCAACGTATAAATCCTGACATCCAATCTAGATTCGCTTACAGCTGACTCGACCATCACCATCCTGGTCGGCCCGTCGGATAATTTCCGCAGCTTCCTCATCCGTCACGTCCTCACCGAGAGATATCAGGACATGTCGCAACCCTGCAGCAGTGATGTGGCCGGTGTGATCGCGGTCGAATACTTCGAATGCTTCACGGATCTCCCGCTCGTAGTCAGCATCCTTTCGTTTTTGGCAGGTCACAGCAAGGAACTCTAGGTGTAGTCAGTCAGCGCCACAAAAGCACTAAACTAGAAGATGGCAGAGACACTGTACCTGAGAATTCAATAGTGCCATTCTTACTAGTGTCGATTTCGTTGATTATCTCTTGCAGCTCTGATTGCGATAAGTTTTGGCCAAGAGATCGCATTACGCTGCCAAATTCATCCGGAGTAATATGTCCTTTGATTATTATGAGTACATTTCTTAAAAAGTGCCCACCCTTGCTAGTTTTAGAGCTGGGGAGGACATCCTGAACATAAAACTAACCATCCCCATCTCTGTCCTGCAGAACAGAATACGTTAGGCCCCGATCGGTCTTGACAGAATTTTATCATCTTACAAAAACATCAAATGCCTTCTTAAATTCTGAGATTTCCTCGTTGCTCAACTCTGCCTATGGGCGATGTTTGTAAATCATGAAACTGTACAATCACGCGGCATGCGAAGTGCTAATTATGTTTCATACCATCTGAAGTAGCTTTATCAAAGGCTGAGATGTACTGAAAAGGAGCAAAGTAAAATTCAAATAATAATGATAGTCCCAGGTTGGAACGCTGTCAAGAATGCAAGGATAAATTGAGGGTTACCGTCATATAGAAGAAGGCTAAAGAGATGTCATCACCCCTGCTGGGTCAACCCATTGCGGTCAGGCATCATTTAGGATGAGAGTCACATGATTCCTGACAAAACCAGAGGCTACACGAGGGGTAATCAGTAAACAAGCGGGGCGACGTAAGCCAGCGGGCGACCTCTGTATTGCATATAAAAGGGGCCTTTTGAGAATCTATACCTCAACAGCGAAGCACTTGGGGTAGACCAAACTTTTGTATAATAGGAACGACACATAGGAGTTCTTCATCTGGACTTACAGCGTTTCATTACGATTACTTTCAGTATTACACTGATTACCGCCGTAATTATTTGTACAAGTAGATATTTATGTATTGAGGTAATAGATTCTTGAAAAAGGCCCATTTTATAGGCAATACAGAGGCGGCCCACTGGCTAACATAGCCCCGCTCGTCTACCAATTATGTTAAAGAGATGCTTGGAGTTGCTGACTAGGTGTAGTGTGCTGCTACATGCGGGATCGCCAAGTGTGGCTGAGCAAAACATAGATGGAACAACCCAAGGGGTATATAAATCACAACGCCCCTTCCATTTTCCTCAGTTTCCGAGGAGGAAGTTCTGCATGCCTGCAAAGGATCTAACTCAAGATGGCGAAGCTCACAAATTTCTCATATGTGATTCTCAATTGGACTTCCAACCGTGGTACTAGAGGTAATGACCAGCATCCACTCCTAATATCCAGCTGCCTGGTACATGGTGCTTGATTCTTGTAACAACATATTACAAGCGTGATCAAACTCTTATACATCCATACTCATGGAATTTATGTCACCCCGTCCGCAACATTGACCTGGTAGATCCTCAGCAGAGCTTCCATCGAAGCACGTGTATGTGGATGCTGGTCACCCAGTGTACTCCTCCTCCTTCTGACAACTTGCTCATTGAGCTGCTCCGCAGCCTCCCATCTTCCTTGGCTCTCATATATGCTTACGAGATTTGCCATCGCTGAGAGTGTATGAGGATGGTCAGAGCCAAGGGTATTCTGCATCTTTTCCAGCGCTTCCAGCGTCAGATGCTCAGCGTCGTTCAACCGTCCCTGGCTGTGATACGTCAATGCTAGGTTAGACATAGCTATGAGCGTGAGTGGGTCCTGTTCACCAAGCACCCCTTTCATGGTTGTCCAGGCCTCCATCCCAAGATCCTCAGCATCGGTTAACAAGCCTAGACCACGGTACGTTAAGGAGAGATTGCACAACGACATTAGGGTTTGGGGATGGTCGTTGCCAAGGGTTCTCCTGCTCGTCTCCACTACCTGCTTCTCGAGACCTGCTGCGTCAGCCCATCGACATTGATCTCGATAGGTCGATGCGAGGTTCGCCATCGCTGTCAAAGTAAGCGGGTGATCCGGTCCCTGGCTTGCGGTCCTTGCTTCCATAACCTTCAATTCCAGGGCTTCTGCGTCGTCCAGTCGACCTTGATCGCGGTAGATTGAGGCCAAGTTCGACTTCCACGTGATTGTGGACTCGTGGGACTCACCCAGAACCTCGCTACTGACCTTGATCACCTGCTTTCCGAGATCTTCGGCTTCGCTGTATCGACCCAGGTTACCATATATGGTGGCCAAATTTCCCATCGAGCTCAAGGTCGAGGGATTCTCCTCCCCGAGTGTCCTCCTCTTCGCCTCCAAGACCTGTATCTCTAGCTCCTCCGCTGCCTCCCATCGGCCTTGGCTACTGTAGATTGAAGCCAAGTTCGTCATTGAAGTCAGGGTCCGTGGGTGCTCCTCTCCGAGAAGCTTTTTCCTCATCTCCACCACTCGTGAACTCAGTGCCGCAGCGTCACTCCAATGGCCCTGGCCCCAGTGGGCGGATGCCAAGTTACCCATAGCGGTGACAGTTGAAGGATGTTCCTCGCCAAACAGACTCGTTCGGCTTTCCACCACGATCTTCCCGAGGTCTTCTGCCGCTTTCCATCGGCCACGTTTGAGATAAATAACGACCAGATCGTGGAGCAGTCCCACGACTGTGATACAGTCGACGGAGGACTGTTTCCCCGCTTCCTCTAGTGCATTCTGCACTTCTTCCGCTTCTTCCCGACGACCCTGGGCTCGATAATTCGTCGGTAACCTTCGGATCGTTGCTAGGATCGATGCTTCTTGGGTTGCCTCCATTAGTCGAGAGGCGTGGTCTGTTTCCGCAGACGGAGGCTCCAGGGCTGCGCGACACCGAGGAAACGCGATATGAGGGGATGTTCTGAATTGACGAAAATGATTTCTCAACCCTACCAGATGTTATTTTGGGAACGAGTGTTTGTCGTATTGAGAGGGGCTGCTACCCCCACACATCGACCGTTGACCAAATTGGTTAGTTCTCGAGAGATTAGGCAGCAGTTTATGCCCGCTAGCGCCGAGGTATGGTATCGCTGTTTCGCCAGCCTGGTCTGTTGGTCGAATGATTTCGGGCTCTCTCTGCCACGCTCTGCTGCTAGGTTGAACCCGCGTCAAGGATGGCTCCATTTGGAGCAGGGAATACAATCCAGCTGATGATACCTTGGGGGTGTTATTTTGCAGCTTGACAGCGTTGGTAAGCACGCCATTCAGGTTTACTGTCCAAGACGCTTTTACTGACGGCGACGATCTTAGAGGGCAAGTTGATTCTGAAGTGGATCATCTGGCCGGAGAAATGCAGTGTGGAGCCCCTCAAGCCGTGTGAGAAGCCTCCAGCTGCATTGACCCCTCCCTGGATGGTTATCTTACGAGCTGAATATGCATGTTGAAAAATTGTTTTGCCTGCCCCTTTAGCTGCAAATCGATGGTGAATCTAATATTGGAAATTCCTGACCATGGTAAGAGTCCTTGATATGCTTTTCCCTGTGGAGTGCCTTGATGACTCTATTTCTTAAATAGATTGATCAGCGCGTATCCGAGAGAATTAGCAAAGTAAGAGTCAATCTGGCGGATAGTTTTCATCTGCAGCCTCATCTCCCCTCGGTCTTGGTTTACTGCTGGAATTGTGGTAAATCAGGATTATTACAAGGCTGAACAATACCTTACATTTCGCCCGTAGTACAGTATCTTAAATACAGCATTGTAATATACGGAGCTTTCCCATAGCTTAAAGCGCTTCAGCGACCGAAACCTTTCCGAGTCTTTGGGAGACTTCCGTTGTGGCCTATGTTATGGCGTCCATGGACCGATCGGACGATTCAGCGGAGGTGACAGAACCTCTTATTAGCCCAACGACTCGCAGTAACCCAGGAGGAGTGTCGGAACGAGCCAAAGCAATCCTCAGTTTAGCGCCCTATGCACTGTGGGTGTTCCCTCCGCTTGGGATTATCGCTGGCCTTTTTCATTGGGAGCCATGGCTTGTTTTGATCTTGAACATCATCGCGATTATCCCGCTCTCTTCTTTGGTTTCCTCAGCCTCGGACGCCCTGTCTGATCACCTTGGAGAATTGGCCGGTGGAGCAGTGAACGCGACGGTCGGCAATGCGGTGGAATTGACGGTGAGAGCGGAGTCCCCTTCTCAGGGATTGTCGGATTAATCATAGCGCTTTCAGACCAGTGTGTTGGGCCTTAGCCATGGCGAGATAGTATTTGCGCAGTCCGTCATGATAGGGAGTATCCTGTCAGACGTTCTGTTGGTGAGTCTCGTCGTCCATAACAGATTGACCCCGCGCTCACATGTTCTGTTAGATTCTCGGAGCCTGTTTGGTATCGGCTTCGTACAACAAGGACGTTCAGTCCTTCAATCCTGCCGTGGTGCACTCGCTATCCTCATTGATGATGATCACGGTGGTGACCATCATCCTCCCGACAGCGCTCTACTCGATTTTCCCTAAGACCAATCTCGACGACAAAATCTTATCATTTTCTCGTAGCACCGCTGTCATCCTCCTTGCTCTTTACTTTGGATACCTTTACTTCCACTTATCCACTCACCGACATCTCTTTGAATCAGAAGACGAAGATGACGAACCAGACAACACTGAAAGTTCCCCTACCCCAAGCCCCAGCTACATCGCCTCGACCGTCAAACTGGCCTTTGCCACCCTCGGGACCGTCTTCTGCAGCTACCTCGTCTTCGACAGCATCGAAGGAACCGTCGCAACCACAGGGATCACAAGAACCTTCATCGGGGCCGTTCTCATCCCGGTGGCAAGTAACAGTCCCGAAGGGACCGCGGTCATCATGGCCGTCCAAGGCGGCCAGGCAAATTTCGCCGTCGGCGTCATCGTCGACAGTATTCTCCAGATCGGCTTGTTCATGATCCCTGTTCTAGTCATCTTGGGATGGTTCCTCAACCAGCCCATGTCCCTGGATTTCGAGGATTGGCACACGGCCATCCTTTTTCTGTCCGCGCTTGTCGTCGATCAGCTGCTTCAGGACGGAAAGTATACCTACGCCCAAGGGATCATGTTGATTGCTTTGTGAGTCAGGCCTACAGTTGTACGATCAGACGTGAGTGCTTATGTGTGTCTCTAGGTATGCTGTTTTCGTCACCACCATCTACCAGTTTGGGATGTAGGTATGCTTGGACACATGATGGTAGGCTAGGGCCAAAGAAGTGATAGAGCCGGGTATCGTTACTATCTTAGTCTACAGCGGACTGTGCTAGCGTCCAGCCAGCGAATGCTTTGTGTATATTTAACATCAAGAGTAAGGTGGCATTTCATGCGCCAATTAGCGAATGACTATACATGAAATTATGGGACGAGGTCATAGAAACAGGATATTCTCCGGGGTTTCCGGCCGTAGATAAAAGGCAAACACGACTATCAGATACCTAGAATATAGATATCACATTAGAACGTCTGTTCGGTATCTCATATGCGATGGATAGAAGATCAGCAAGGGGGAGGAGGACGTACGTTCCGACCAGCATAAGTCCCTCAAAGTAATTGGTTTGTCCACGATGACACATGGAATTGGTCACTATAACACCAACCAGAAAGATGACTGTATCGAAAGCATCAAAAACTAGGAATGCCGGGACATCCAAGATCCAGCCCAGGAAAGCGACACAGGGGACAACGAGCAGAGTGATCCGGAGTGCATTGATGATCACAGTTCTGATTCCCAACGCTCCTCTATCTTCCCGATCCACGGTGACTATACTCAGGATCTTGGTCGAGTTTCCGACGAGCGGGATCAAAACCAGGCTGATAAAGTGCTGGCTTATCCTGGCGGATTTTGCAAACCCGCCCAAGCTGCCCACCATAAAGAAGCCGCACAGGACAATGGATGGGACGCTCGCGGCCAAAATGATAGCCGGACGCCAGGACCGGACTGCACCAATCTGGGGACTTTGTGTGGAGCCGCTAGCGGGGATAGCTTTGAAGTAGAATGTATGCGTCCGGAGTCGAAAGAAGAGGAACACCAAGAAGAGGAGGAAGAGGGTAATGGCGGTTCCATGAGTTACGGGCGTAATATCACCAAGAGCGAAAACATCGGGCGACAGAAACATGACCAAACCGGTGGGGATCATGAGACACACGGCTGCAGCCATGAGGACCGAAGAGAGGATACCAGTCAGTGTTGGATCGAAGTCGAGTTTCTTCTTGTTGTAGCCGGAGACGAAGAAGCAGCTCCCAAGCACCTAGGCGAATGACTATGAGTTGGCGACAAAAGAACCGCCTCAGCAGGTACGGGCATGGGGACTTACAAGCAGCAAGTAGCAAAGGATGCTTCCAAGCAGTGCGGATTGTGCGATTCGAACTTGGCCTCGAGCTAGCGCGGCGAAACCCACCTGGGGAATTATGAGCAAGAAGCGAAAACCCATCAGACAGGGAGAGAAACTGACCGTCAGCTCCACGGCGTTTCCCAAGGTAGCCTTGAACAATTCGTCGACAAGAGGTGTGACGCTCGCGGACAACTCGGTGATGGAGAGGGTCATCCATGATACAAGTGGGACAATCGCAGCGAGGTTAAGAAGGAAAACGGCCTCATCAGCCCATCCAAGAATACCCGCGATGATCCCTATCGGCACCAGGAGCAGCAGGGCGCTGAGATAGCTGTGGCATATTTGGGACGTTATCCTGTGGTAGGAACGCCACGAGTTCTGGCGCATAAGCGGTTGAGGGGGTTCACCATCGACAGAGTCTCGAGATGGAAGGTCAGGATGGTCGATTTCACTCAACCTAGGCATTTTGGAAGCTCCTCTCCGGGATAAGACCGATGGAGGAGAAGGAGATACAAATGGACTCGCCATCGGAGAATTCTGGTCTGATCTCATTTTAAAGGCAAATTTTGATGAGGTTGAAGCAGGATGCTCGCGGTTGGAATCCTTTTCTCCAGTTATCTACCAGCCAAACCAGTCTATTTTGTCTTTTAGTCTGTTACAGTTATAGAGTACAACACCGTACGGTATTAGACAATACCGCGCTAGTACAAAATGTACCAGGGAACAGGCTCCGGCCCTTCAAGGGGTCAAGGAATGGCTGCTTCTGATTGGGCAATAGATCAGCCTTACCACCCGTGTCTTGTGGTAAAAGTGGGGTGGCATGCGCTTGGCAGGACCTTCAAAAGCTTCGACCATTAGGCAACCTCATTACTTCTAGCCAATCAAACGGGACGATGAAGCGGATGCGAGCTGTCTCATCCGTACGAAGAATATCATAGGAAACCACGGGAGAACATCCGAGCTCACGGACAGATGTGTGCTTTGTTTCTTGCCTCAAGATGCTTCGACTCCGGCACTCTATGTCTTCCTCCCCCCAGGAGCGTGTTACTGAGTCGCCACCGGAGAATGAGCCTCTATTAAAAGGCGATATGGCTCTGCAGGCGAGCGCACTTGAGCGGCGTCTCACAGGCCATTACATCCAGCCTCTCTGGATGGTGATCAGGACAACGTTGGCCTCGAGCTATGCGAACTTGTTACTTCCCACAGTATTCCTGGGCATTGCTTCGGCATCTTGGGGCTGGGGAGATACTTCGACTTTCGTTCTCAACTTACTGGCGATCTTCCCTCTCGCCTCCTTGCTTTCTTTTTCTACAGAGGAACTCGCGAAAAGTGTCGGCTCCGCCGTGGGAGGGTTGATCAATGCCACTTTTGGAAACGCAGTAGAGATGATTGTAAGGATGCTATAGAAACTCCAGAAGAAATAGGAACACAACTGATCGAGTGTAGGTGGGTGCGACCGCGGTCAACAGAGGTGAAATTCATATTGTTCAGGCCAGCATGATCGGAAGTGTACTATCAGGAAACCTCCTTGTACGATGAGTCCCCTTCTTACTTGCCTTGTACTCTGCTAATCATAATCAAGATCCTCGGCTCTTGTTTCTTTGCCGGGGGCTATAACAGACGGACTCTCCGCTTCAGCCCAGATGTCAGCCAAATCCTCTCCTCGTTGATGGTGGTGATAACTTCCTTTCTCCTGATCCCGTCCGCTCTATACGTCACCACTCGTGCCCCGGCCACCGACACGGAGGAGAGCGTCCTAAACCTGTCTCGCGCCGCTGCCATTATCCTTCTCCTTTACTATCTGATATATCTCTACTTCAAGCTGAAAAGCCACGCGGATGTGTTTGTCTGCGATGGTGAGGAGGAAGAGGAAGAAATACAGCTTGGTCCGTGGTCCGCCAGTCTGGTACTGGTCCTGGCAACCCTCGGAGTCACTACCTGCTCCGACAGCCTTGTGGAAAGCATTGATGGCATGGTCGAAACCTGGAGTATCAGCAGGGCGTTTATCGGTCTGATCGTTGTCCCAATCGTCGGGAACGCGGGTGAATTCAATACGACCGTCAACGCCGCCATCAAAGGGCATCTGGGCTTAGCGATCGGCATCATCGCCGAGAGTACGCTGCAAATCGCCCTGTTTGTCACCCCGTTCACGGTCATTTGGGGCTGGGCCATTGATCAGCCCATGTCGCTCCATTTCAACACCTTTGAAATCACCGTCTTTTCGCTAACGGCCATCTTAACCAAATGCCTCATGCGGGAGGGCCATTCCAACTGGTTCCAAGGCTATTTATTGATTGGCATGTATGTGACCTGCACCTCCAGTCTTCGTATGAAACCACAAGCTGATCTGGTTTTAGGTATTTGATCCTTGCGATCGCGTTCTATGTGCATCCAGATTTAGATCACATCACACAGGAGGTCCCTTCTGGATAGGGATGGGATTCTCTAATAGAACGATTAAATGATCCTTATTATAGACTTAATATAATAGGTGTCCCTTCACAGGCCAGCCTACGCAGAACACCACATGTCGTATTGAACCGAAACCGTCTTGCGATCGAAGCTGAAAACAGAGGATCAAGCAATAGTGAGTTTAGGACGGGGGATGTGTGCTTGACAGCTCAGTTTCAGCAGTAGGAGGAGGACTATTTCCTTGAGAAAGGTCAGAGTCAGGATGTTGAGAAGCTCCTTTCCGCAGCTTGGACCATAACATAGCGCCTATGCATGCCAAAAGGAGAACTGTTGTCACAACAGCCATAACAGTTTGTCCCAGGTGCGTAGAAGTTGAATCGTTAATGTGTTCGATCGACCACGGGTAGCACGATGACTTGACGATGATGTACACGCCGAGGCCCACGTAGAGAAACGGGACCACCACACTGGCATATTTCTCAGCCATGCGCAAGATATGCCTCTGCTTCATAATCAGGAACGCAACGAGACACCACACTCCGACTAAGATGTAGTAAGTGACAACGTATACCGCTATTTCTGCTCCCTTTGCTTGCGCAAACAGCGGTATATATGTTCCGATGTTGTCTCCCCCGTTCATCACTGTGATGGCTGAGACTTTGAGTATGCTCTTCGCACTGGCAATCTTTGTTTTCTCCGATTCTTCATCCTCCCCAGGGAAGAGATGTTCAAAGAGCTTCCAAATGCCCAGTAGAATGGGCAAGAGACCGAGAAACCCGATAGGCTCAGACGGTATTAACAGCGAGGCACCATAACCAATCATACTGATGACGACGATGACTGTGAACCCGAGATACTGACCAGCAGTAATCTTGAGAGGAGTCACGGCTGTTCTGTTGGCAGACGCCTCCGCAAAGAATGTGACCAGGACAAACATGTCATCGATATTGGTAATAGCGAACGAACTGCATGCAGTTCCGAGTGCCTTTCCAAACTGCATAGTGGGGGTAGAGCAGTGATGGTAGTGTTAATAGGGAGTGAAATTAAGTGAGAGTTGAAGACCATGGTGTGTTGAGGTTGAGAGGTGAAATGTGGCTTGCCTGGCAGGAGGATGGCGGAAACTCAGTACACCGCCCCTGTGTGGAGCCTCATGCGCCGGATAAGACAGCTCTCTTGCGCCTAACTATCATGGGACTCTCAATCTAATTTCATTACTATAAAAGTGTATATTGACTATTATATAAATAGTAGGAGCATTCCTACTAGGGAGATCACATGATCAGATCATGCCATGCTGAGTATGGCCAACATATTTAACCCTATCAGTTAGCTAAGAGGTGTAAGGCAGTGAAAAGGGGGAGTAAGTTAGTAACTAAGTGGATATATGATTAATCTTATAAGAGGAGGTAGGAATGCAGTGCMATTTTCTCTATATAGAATAAGGCTACGTAAAAGACATCATCTAGTACTAATAGGCAGGTAAGGACCGTAAGATGAATTCTAATAAGGTAAGTGGTAAATTATAGAAACAAGAGTGTATTCCTTTATTTTCATAACATACTCCTCAACAACAGTGATCTTGTTATAGTGAGATAATTCAGACCGGTTGGATTTCCTGTTCTACTTAGACTAGTGACGAGCGGATGTGACAGCAGATAATGAACCAGAGCTGCCACTGAGTGATCCGGGGGGATTCCTATTTTGGACGAATTCTGGTGGAAATACTGCAATTAGCTGATCAGTGGGAAGTCACCGAACAACCACTCTCATGGTATGCTCGATATCTCATATATGATCGGGAATTCATCTACCACCTATACTGTTATACCACCTACCATATCTACACCTTCCTATTAGGGAAATGCAGTACCAGTACCATCTAGAGTTACAGTAGGCGCTTGACACAACGCACATCAGTGGAATCAGATCATGATTGAGGGATTTTCTGAAGTAAATCAACAAGGTTTTCAAAAAGAATCTGGGGTTCTAGAGATTCTTTATATCTCACACGGCTCCTCATAGTAGGTCCCATTCAAACTCCGCTTGGTCAAAACGCCACCACCAACATAGCAATTTTGACTAGCGATTTCAAGATTAATCGCCATTGCTAGAGCAATCAGTTCACCAGTCGCGTGCGCAAAAGTGCCATCATACTGAATCTTCTTGCCGACAAAGTCCAGCAAAAATACATTGAGGTACATTCAGGGCGTGATGGCGGAGTAAAAGTCCCAGAAGAGCGGATCGTACGCGTACCGCACAGCCCAGTCCTCGATGCTGAAGTAGGTATTGTCGTAGATAGAGGTCAGGGTGAGAATTCATTGCGTGACCAGAAAGGTGTTTCTTGCATCATTGCAGGGCGGACAGCGATGGGTAATGCCTTCGAATATGTCGTAGACCTTGTCCCATTGCACGTCGTTCAGCACTACATAACCATTGTCCGTGTCGAGGGCGTGGGATAGGTATAGATTGATAAGTTCAGGGTTAATTGCAGTGAAAGCATTGATTTGGCCGATGATTTCTTGCAGAGACTGCCCATTTGCACCGAGATGTGGCGAGTTAGGCCAATTGTAATGGCCCATCAGGTATTCGCCTCCTTTCCCTTGGACGGGCCGGACGTCAAAGTAACGCGATCCCTTTCGTAGTTGATCACCGATGCCAAATAGCTGCGTAAGAACATTCGACGCCGATACCAAGGCGCTTTCGCCGTTCATCTTGCTCATTCCGGCGTCGTGGGAACTGGGCATTGAGATGTATCTCAGCTTTCGGTCTCCAATCACAGGCAAAATGCTGCTCATCCAGGCCGTCCAGGGAGTGACGCTCGGCCAGTATCCCAGAGTTTCATCACCAGCAAGCACAAAGTTTCCCGCTCATTGTCAACCGGGGGCCTGGAATTCTGTGATCGTGTTCGCGCCGAATTGTGCGTCGACATGCCATTGAAGTAGATATCAGCTCGGTACGGGTTCACCCCGCTGCCCCCAAAATCGGTACGTGCCTCAACCACGAAGGTCTTATCTGTTCCCTTGAGGGTGTAGTACCCCTCGCCCTTGGCATCGACTACGCTGGATCCGACACCACTGTTGTACTTCATGACGTTCTGCACAGACTTGCCAGCTGGGATGTCGTGGAAGGCAAATGTGTCCATTTGATATGTGTGGGTGCTGCTCAGGATGAAGTCATAAGGCGATCCGTTAACGATGATCACATACACTTACCGTCTCATCTACGCCCGTGTAGTCTTTATCGTTTTCTGTGAGTTGGGGCGGATACGTAGTGGCCCTTGGGAACCGAAGCGGATGTGGTTGTGGTCGAGCGTCCTTTGCATGGATCTGCGTGTCTTGGATTGGATCAAACATGGTCAACTGAGACCAGTAGGGGTGGAAATTGGCGGCCAAGTTGTCTTGCCGGACACTACCGTCCCATCAGAACACGAGCATATTCTCCGAGCCAATGGTGACCAAGTTCTGGATTTTGACATTGTTGTTACTCCCCATATAGAAGAGATTCTTTTGACAGTCCATGCAGTCGACTGTACATCCTGAGTCCGCTATCTAGTACTAGAATGATAAGAGTCGTAGTAGTTCTCCTGAATGAACGATGTTACTTTAAACAGGTATTATATTCACATCAATCTCATCAATCCCAGGAACTGTGGACATGACCGAGGCCGGATAGTGAGTAGAGGCTTGACTCTATCCTAAGCAGATGAACTTTTCTTAACCAATCCCTCTTAAGTCGCCGGAGTCGCGCCCTAGGAACTTAGTCGGAGGAGTTAGTTAGTCTCTTAGCCGGAACCATTGACTAAATATAGTCGGACTATACACTACTAGGTATGTATGTACACATGTACAGTATATGTTGACTGAGCTTGCAAGTCTTGGCTGCTCTTGACTCTTGACTACTTCGTCTTTGACCCTCTGGTTCGATTCCTAGCCTTGGCAAAGCCTGACTTAATTTCTCGGAGCAACAGAATTCCAATAAGAGAGGGTGAAATTATCCGAGTGGAATACCCCTGCCAAACAACCGGCTAAACCATTCAGAAAAGGCCACCAATCATTTCAGAAGCGATCGAGTCTCTCTGTTCTTCACTAGTCGCTAGCTATCTAGCATACTACTTATCACCTTACTAGTCGTTGATAAGGTACTCTAGTGCTGCAGTCATGTACTGTAGTCAACGTAACCCTAATATAATCGGACATCTTCCCGCCTCCATCTGAGGCTCTGAGCGCCTGGCTTGACTTTTCCTAAAGAGCGATAGCAATAGTAATAATAACGAATGAAGTCCGTAACAGGCAGCGAGGGACATGGAGCCCCTTGACTTGTCTCACTTTCTCAGTTTCAAAACCCATTTATGATATAATCATTGTGCTGCTCTATCTATTATTGCATCCATCTGCTCACCTCCATATTCTAACAAAATACTGCAAACCTGTCAATAATGTCCACCAGATCTCGATCCCGAATTCCACGTCCCTTCGGCATAATCCAGACCATCTTACGTCTCGCCACCTTAGCCATATCCCTAGCCGACCTGGTTATCCTCTGCGAGTTGGCAACAAAATACAGCAACACAGGGCCCTACCCTCGAAGTAAAGCATTTCCCTCAAGTATATCTGCGGTCTGTAAACTCTTACCTCTCTCCCACCTTGGCCATCTATATCCATCCCATGATTGTTACCTAGGTACGGATCTAAACTGAACTAACATCCAATATTACCGGTCTATCAGTCAGTTATTTTAATCACAACCAGCATCCTCGAACTGATCCCCCTAGTCGATCCAACCCACACAGTCAAGCGGGTCGGACCAGGACTATTAGGGATCGCAGATCTAGGCTCCATTGTCGCGGGGATATAGGGTCTTTTCGAGAACATGTTCAGTGATTGGGATCTTAGTGATGCACCGATGGATACACCGATGCCGTGGGTGGGGTTGCAGGATTTGGCGTTTAGGTTGACTGTGCCGTTACCGTGCGTTCCCCATCCATCCATTTACTATCTACCTAGGTGACCGGCTGGGGTATCTGGGCTGTCTATGGATGTAGCTGTACTAACAAGAGAGACTGGATATAGGGCGATGGCGTTTGTTGCGTTCATCTTTGACTGTGTGGGATGTTGGGGGAAAGTTAAGAATACAAAATATAAGGATCCAGTAGTGGTTAGGGAGCATTTACTTGCAGAACAAGAACAAGTTGAGAGACAGAAAAAGTAGGAATGTACTTGAGAAAAATCTTTAGTTTATACCTATTCAGAGGAGCGACTGATAGCTCATGATTTATGACTTTGTTGAAAGGGTTTAATGCTTTAGTGGGGGACCTATGTTTATATCTGAATTTGTCTAGGAGGCCCACTTGTTATGCTTAGATATTTATTAGCTAGCCACACTTTAACTATAGTTTATTTTAATTGTAATTATAATAAAGTATTCTTCCCTTGGGAAGTTTGTCTCAGGAAGGCTATCCTGAGATAGTTCAGGTCTTAAGATAATATTTACTGGTTAGATCTCAGCTCTTGTGGTGCATTCTGGTCAATGAATTAGGTGATTTACGCTGAGGACTCTTTTAATACAGTGGTTGAGGGTCAGAAGGTGTTTAACTTTGACAAGGAGACGCTCAAGCGTTTTATGATTTTGCGACAGGAGAAAGCAGCCAGTCAGAAAGGTCGTAGCGAGAGATGCGGACTAGATAATCACCTGAGCCGGGTATGCTGCCTTAAATACACTAAGAAGAACCCGTAGTCGATGCAGTGCGGGCTTAGGTTGTCTAACGACGATATACGTCAGAACGTAGGACACGCACTCCACTTTATAGCTGCATATTTGCTCTAGCAGTAAGCTTCTAGCACGACCGAAACCCAAGTCCTCTTCTGACCCAGGCACTAGATCCGACAGGTTTAAGAGACGTTCGCGAAGAAATACGCAGACCAGTTGGGGAGTTAGAAAATGTCTTCGGCCATCTCTTCCGGGACGATGAAGGGCAGCTCGGCGACTTGACAGTGAAAGCACTCCGTCTACCAAGGTGCACTCCCAATCATAGCGAGTATCACGATTGAAGAAACGTCCCACTGACGATTCGATATTGATCTGGACGTCAGCATTGTAGGATGCGACTTTCCATGACCAAGCCCATTTCTGGCTCCCCGTTATAAGTTGTGCACAAGACATGATCCCCTCCTGCAACTCTCTCGGAGTGCGAAGCCAGGTGGCAGAAGAGTCGTGATGCCATGCCGTATGGCACCCGTGGAGAACACCGAAAAGACAACAAACCTGTTAAGGAAGGAACCAGGCTGGAGGACTTTCTACGTTGAGGGCGCGCAAGTGATTCATATTTGTGCGAACTCCGGCTGTACAAAGCTCCAAGCAAGCCAAGCGTTTGACCCGAATACAACATGGTACCAACTTCCCGTAGCTATATGATTATAACGTATACGTCCTCTGTCAGATCCATGCCCTGGCTTAGTATTTCTTCGAGTTATTCCGCTGGAGGATACACAGACCGACTTTTGCCGTTGCGACGTCCATTGGTGTAGGATGAGCATATCAGCAGCTTCGAATGATCAGCCAAACGGGCCTATCTCCTCATAACCCATAATACTTGTCCCTTTAGTAACCGTAGCATCTACAGACTGACGTCAATGCGTCCCATTCACCGCTTCGTTGATAGTGTGGTGATCCTGTTGACCGCATAGTCACGGCTATCGCTGGCCATCGTACTACTCCTTGAGCCAATCCTTCCATTGCATTGATAATGACAAGCTGTCCATGTCTTCTATCGCGATATATGCCCAATAATATTGCCAATCATGAGATGGGGTGTTCCACTCAACTATGTAGTTTGCCGTGCTCTGATTGGCTGTTCTGCTTGGATCCCCGGGTGAGTCGCCGTTCGACAGCTGAGTCGGCGATTGGCCCGGATAAGGGGTACTCATATATCGCCTCAATATCTGGCTGAGGTAGCTGTGCCAATTATACTTCATTTTTCTGTTTAGTGATATCCTCTAGAGTCATTGATTCCGATCACAATTCGAAATACCATAATGATGGCCCCTGCTCTATGTGCTCCCGTTTCCGTGGCCAGTCACCCAGCCTCGCTTGATCGCGTCCAGAACTATACTGTATCCCGCAAACCCAACACAAACTACACCCTCGACAACCTGGTAGAAGATATCAAGCAGTACCTGGGGAGCTCCGGCATCGATGACGACCATGTTGACCCGGCTGTTCTCATGGGCTTCATGTCCAAGTACACGTCCAGCAGCGCGGACTGGGCACCATACATGCGCAATGACCCCAGCAAGAACTATACCCGGAACCTGGTGGCCGATATCAGCGGGCGTGCAAATCTGGTATGTCATCACTGTATCTCTCCCATGTCGAATCCGGGGTTAACTCAAGTAGCTGCTGCTAGTCTGGAACCCCGAGAAAGGATCACTCATCCATGACCACGCCAACGCGCACTGTATCATGAAGATCCTCGATGGGGAACTGAATGAATCGGTCTATCACACTCCCTCGGCTGATGAGCACGAAGGCCCCTTGAAGATCAAGAAGGACACGACGTATCAGCCCAACGAGGTGGCCTATATCAGTGACCAGATCGGGCTGCACCGCGTTGCCAATCAGTCCAAAAATCGGTTGGCTGTTTCATTGCATTGTACGTTCAGAGTTCATGGCAGTTTTGGCGAGTATGGACTAACAACCCTTCAGTGTATACACCCCCGAACGCAGCGGACTTTGGATACAATATCTATGATCCGAAGACCGGAAAATCCAGTCATGTCTTCCAGGCGTAGAGACGCAGCGTATGATGTTATGGTTGCGCATATGATACCATTTCCGCCCGCGTGTTCTTTTGTATATATGATACCATATTAGCGGCTGTCCAGATTGCATTATTTCGGTGCCTGTTTCGTTGGAATTGGAATGCGCTGCATCATGTGGCTTTACCAGATAGGGTCATACTGAGTGGCCTACGCGATAAATTCATCGAGAGGGTTTATATTGAATTCTCCATTGCGGTTATATATGGTAAACGACCTAACTTGTCTTATCCCCACAATGAGTTGACTGGCCCTCTGTCATACAGAAACAACTGTGTTTATTTCGCCCGGCAACTAGAAGCGGGGTGCTTGTGGTGCTTTCGGTGTCCATGGCCATGAGATCCTCTGTGGCCTGTTGGAGCCGCAGATGTTTGGGCCGGCGTTTCAGCAGCTGGCTCCGTATCCGCATTTGCCGACACTGTCGCACTAGCCGTGGTTTCGCTAGCGTAATTGGCAGCTGTGTCAACGGTGGAGTAAGACGAAGCCGAAGAGGAATCAGCGGGTGCCGCAGCATGATCAACAGCTGAAGCTCCTGCTTCAGGGGTAGCAACAGCGGTAGCAGAAGAGGCGGACGATGCAGAAGAAGCCGAAGAAGACGAATTGGACGAAGAGGATGCCCCGCCAAGAGAGATACAAGCAAAGCTCATCTTCTTAGTAGTGGTTGACGAATAGCCGACGGCCTGGGACAGGTCCCAGGTCATGCTAACATAGGGCCAGCAGACACGGCCGTCGCCCATGGTCACCATGTCACCAGCCACATAGGTATCGGTGCTGGTGAGAGCCTCGCCAACCTTCTTTCCACTCGAGTCGACCTGCTGGAAGAATGAGCCGGCAAACTGTCCACGGCAGCCCATGGCGATATAGTCACAGGTAGGATTCGAGATCTCCTCCCAGGTGACCAGGGCCGAGTCAGCGCCAAAGGTAGCCGCGTGTGCGTTCGAGCAGTCGTTCGAGCCGTTGGTGATCCAGGTGACCTGGCTGTCGCCATCCTCCGTACCCACCTGGGACGTCGCCTGAGCGCCGACCTTCGTGTACTTGTCGGTGAAAAGGGCGATGGCGACGTTGCGGCCGTTCGTCCGGTTATTCACGTGCGTGTATCCGGCACCCATCCAGCTGTTCTCCGTCACGTCTATGGCACCCCGAGACACCCAGGCGAAGATGTAGCGGGCCGACTCGGCAAACCGGGCCAGAGCACTGTAGCTGCCGGACATACCGCCCATGGGCTCACCTGAGGCTCCGTTGGTGGTGTTCTCATTGGAGATCTTGACCCCGTCGTTGTTCATTCCCTGTGTCTTGGTGTTGAGCCAGATGGCGCCCTGGTCCTCGGCGCAGATGCTGGCAAAGGGGGGCTCGTCGGCTGCCTCGAACGCAATGCCGGTGTTGTGGCTGCAGCCCCAGGAGCTGCTGGCGCCGGAAATTGTGACGAGGGTTCCGTTGTCCGACACATACTGGATGCTGTCACCGAAGTGGCCCTGTGCCCAGCCGCTGTAGTCGGTGACGACGAAATAGGCGCCGTACATCTTTGCGCTTTCGGAGTAGGCTAGATCGCCGTTGAGGTCTGGAGAAGCCGATAGACCGTCAGACTCGTGCACTCCGGGGCCACCAAGCCAAGTTTTCCATGTCTGCTTGCCGTTGGTGTAGCGGTAGAGGACTGGAACTGGAGTGTCGGATGGGGGCGCATTGGTCGTTCCGGAAGGCAGGGCTTCGTTGGTCAACAAGGCAAAGCCATCATTATGAGCAACCAGTCCACCGGCTAGATTCCGTCAATAAGAAACCATAAAAACTATCAATCACATTACATACCTTCCTTGCCACCGGTCACAGTAACCGTGGTCCCTGTAGCCTGAAAGGTAGAGGGATCCAGCTGCTGGACATGCACGTCAGTTTCACTGGAATCCAGGTAGGCGAGATATGCGGTCTTCCCGTCGGGAGAGACAGCAAAAGGAGTCCGACGGTGGTGAGGGTAGTTAGTCCAGTAGGCAGCCTTGACGGGGTTGAAGTTGAAGTTGAGTGCCAGCACATCAACATGCTTTTCGAGGTTGGACGCAGTCAAACCGGCCGCGACGTCCAGCGCCGCAGTAAGCAAAGAAAGAACGAAAAACCGACGCATATTGCTTGGTTGGTGTTTGCTTGTTTACTGTCCACTTTCGGGGAGTATTGGTGGGAAGTTGACACGGATATATAGCGGCCGTAACGAACTCAATCTCACCATATTGATTAAGGGGATGATCCTGAAGTATCGAACGTAGCCCTAAAAGTCTAGACTTAATTGGATCCATAACTGGAGCTTAATTGCTTTGTTCTAGGCATTCCTGGAGATGATCGGAAATATGCCGAACCCGGTGCGGTTCGTGTTTCACTTCAGCCAAGACGGCCCTCGTTAGTATCTTGATTCGTCCATCGCCTATGGATGTCTCAGTTCATAATCTATATGAAATAAATTGTTCACACGTGGGCCCATGCTGAGACAACCCAGGAAATATCCATTCCTCATACGAGTACGAGTTCCTCTTCTCATCAACACTATATACCGCTATCTACCCCGTAGCAAGTACGGCGTACCAAGTGTCGTGGAAACCAAGAGTTTTACTTTGATGATTGCAAAGTATATATTCACTCGGTTAATTTCATCAACCCTATCTACTGGAGTATCCAAGCCCTCATTCGCAGCAAAGTCCTCAAGCAAATCCATCTCTCCAAGCGCTGAATCCCTTTATTTAAGCTTCGATTTGCTGCTCCCAGGATCTTCCTGTTGTTGTCTTCCTCCATTGCGTATACCAGACTGCGAAACGTGAATAGCGACATTGTTCCAGTTTCACCCTTAGTCGCCTCCACCATTTAGTATCCTCGGCACCGGCAATTGGCGGTTAAAAACCGAGTCATTAAGAAACGGACGGCTTTGTTGAGATCCGGAACCGAGGGTAGAATCCAGCCGACTCCAGTCAATAATTGCTGATATCTTTTAATTCGAAACCATGATGTTACCGGTCCTAGATCGGGATGGTAAGGGTAGAACATCTCTCCGACGTCTGGATTGGGTGCAAATCTGCATAGTAAAAGTACCCCTTGCGTTCAGCGACTGTTAGAGGCGCCAATGAATGCTTACTCGAATGAGCAAGATAACAACTCTTAACTCGCAAGCTTTTTCCTCCATTGGTCAGAACCTCCTGTATCAATAGGCTTCTTAGCAGATATTCCAAGCTCTTCTTCTCTCTCCTCTCAGATGTCACCTGTAGTGGTTTGTGGCTGGATACATATGGCAGGACGTACAAATACCCTGCGCAAATTTACAGGTGGCAGAACCAGAACATTAGAAATCCCACACCCAAATATAGGGGCCTGATCAAAATAATGTCCCAGGTCGCCCATGCGAAATAGATAGTATGTGCGATACACGTTGATCACTGACGTAGATGGTTTATTGCATGGCAAGTTAAGGCATACCCATTATTATCCTATAGGGCTCCTTATAGTACGATACAGTACAAGGACAAACAAAAGTAGGCTTTGTTGAAACTATCATAACAATATCTTTTAAGCTTATGCCTTATGTGGGCTGTTCTATACTAATTGGTTGACTCTAAAACCTCAGGACCACTAATAGGAGACTACCCTGCTAGTAGCATCTTCCTTATGATCTTTACTCCTCTCAGAATTCCAATAAGCATGGACCGCCATGTGGCAGGGATTGAAGGTGGCTATAACCATCACATGCCCGCTGGTCTTTTCCCTAGCCAATGGCTTCTGGCGTGAAGTGATATCCCTGCTAAGGTATTAACTACAAATAGATAGAGGGAATTTGAGATGATCTCACTTCATGACTTGGAGAAACTGTGCTGCCTATGATTATAGGCACCAACGAGACAGATATATGTGCTCATTAATCACCTCCAAGTCGGGAAATGAATTTATGATTCAATTCTTGACTAGAATATCACTGTTTAGTTACCCGTATAATGGCATTTCAAACAATCACCATCACTTACACCGACGGCAAATATCTGTCTCTAGTCGACGCAGCCTCGCGTACCCCCCTGTACCATGTCAAGGTTTGCCGTCAAGTGCCGCAGATGGAAATGATTCGCTTGAATCCAGCCCCAAGCGACGATACCGACCAAGCGTTCCCTCAGGATGAGAGCGCCTACTTCGAACGCCGGGTCTACACGGCAACGTTCAAGATGACAAGCCTCGACGTCCAACTTCAGATTCGCGAGCACCGGGAGGTCTTGCTCAGCAGGAAAAGTATCCTTTCCACCAGCTACTCATTCGCGTCACCAGCAATGTCTGCTGCAAATACCAGAAGCTCCTCGTCATCTCCACCATCATCGCTGATCCTCACATGGGAAGCCGACCCGACGGGCAACCTGGGAGACTTTCGACTTGTTAATGAGGCTGAGAATGAATCGGATAAAAGGGTGCTGGCTCGCTTTCGAAACAAGGCGTTTTCCAATGAGCAAGTGGGCACATTTGAAGTAGTCGCTGGTCTCGATCAATTTGTCAAGGACGAAGCGGTGATTTCCGGACTGGCCATGCTGTCGATGGTGCAGAGCATCAATCTGGCTGGCATGGTCATGCTCGGTGGGAGTTGAGCTATCTTTTACGTGAACTCGGAGATGGCCGTGAAACCAATCGGAAAACGGGATATTGTTGGGCACCTGGGAAAATTGATCCTTTTTCTGTGTCAAGTGGGGTAATATCTCCACCATAGCCGGCAATCAACAAATGATAATGGCTTATTTACCATGTCCAGTACCTAAATTTGTTATGCTAGAGTGTTATGGGATTAGTCGATCCACTAAAGAAAAACTGATAAGATTCATGTCTTTTGACTCTGACTCACGCAACCGTGCTAGGCGATCTACAGATCGACGAACACAGCGACCTTGATCCTGGTCAACGTAGAACTGCCCCGGATAAGAATCAAGGCGAATGTCAGTATGGAGACGATGGAGATGATGGACTCTACGGCAATGCCGCACCGTAGCAAGGTTCAGGTGTTCGCCATCATGGTGGCCCTTTCGGTGAGGACGAGCGTTATTGATTTAACTTGATACCAAGCTAACTAAACTCCAGCTGTCCATGTTTGTGGCTGCCCTCGATCAGACGATCATGGCCACGGCTATCCCAACTATTGCAGCCAAGCTACACTCGGCCGCGGGATATACCTGGATTGGCGGTGCCTACCTTCTGGCCAACGCCGCTGGTGCTTGCATCTGGGCCAAGCTCTCGGATATCTGGGGACGCAAGCCCATCTTACTCTTGGCCGTGGCTTGGTTCTTCGTCAGTTCGATCATCTGTGCTACGGCGGTGGACATGCCTATGTTGATCGCGGGCCGAGCACTCCAGGGTGTTGCCGGAGGTGGTCTGCTTCAGTTGGTCACTATTGTCATCTCGGATTTGTTCAGTGTCAGGTACGTAGGCGCTTTCAAACCTTCACAGACAAATTTCTGACTTGACAGACACCGGAGTCTCTATCTCGGCTTGATGGAGTTCATGTGGGCGCTGGCGGGAGGAATCGGTCCCCTTCTTGGTGGTGCATTTTCCCAGTATGTCTCCTGGAGATGGAGTTTCTGGGTCAATCTGCCTGTCTGCGGACTTGCCTTTGTGCTGCTGTTGCTATTTCTCGACGTGCACAATCCTAAGACGAAGATGATCGATGGAGTGAGGGCTATTGATTGGTTCGGAAGTCTCTCGATCCTCGGTCTGACGCTGATGCTTCTCCTTGGCTTGGACTTTGGTGGTGAAACTTTCCCTTGGGATTCGCCCAAAGTCATTTGTCTGATCGTTTTCGGATCGCTCTGTTCTTTGCTGTTCATCTACAGCGAGAAGCGGCTGGCAAAGTACCCTCTGATGCCGATGAGTCTCTTTGCGCAGGCCTCCAACATCGCGACACTGGCTGTCACATTCGCTCATGGCTTCGTATGTATTTCCCACCTGTTGTTTGGCGCTGAGCTTACGAGGAGTAGGTTTTCATCGCTGGCGAATACTACGTCCCTTTATACCTGCAGTCCGTCAAAGAAGCCTCGCCCATGCGGTCCGGTATCCTCGTTCTGCCCCTAGTTCTGTCCGAAGCTTTCGCTGGCATCATCACCGGAGCCGTCATCCACCGCACCGGCCGCTATCGCGAGCTCATCTGGCTGGGAATGACATTGTTGACAATCGGCAACGGACTGTACATTCATTTGAATGCATATTCATCCTTGGGTCAAATAATCGGATACCAGATTCTCAGCGGCATCGGAGCAGGGTTCTTGTTTGAACCTCCCATCATCGCAATCCAGGCAATGGTCTCTCAGGACGAAACTGCCACTGCAACAGCTACCCTCGGCTTTATCCGTAACCTGGCAACCTCTTCGTCCATCGTCATCGGCGGCGTGGTGTTCCAGAACTCCATGAGCCAGATGAAATCCACCCTGCTTGCCGCCGGAATGTCAGAAAAATTGACAGAGCAGATGTCCGGAGACTCTGCAGCTGCGAATATCGAAATCATCAAGACCATTCAGGATGCAACTCAACTGCTTGCCGTCAAGGAGGCTTTCGCCTGGAGTTTGAGGAACATGTGGATCCTCTATACGTGCATGTCTGCTCTGGGGATTATCGCGGGTGTATTTATTCTCAAGACMCGGCTGAACAAGGAGCATGTAGAAACAAGGACAGGGCTGAGATCGGAGAAGTCGGAGGCTGCAACTGTGGTTGAAAGACCTGCAGATGAATGCTGAGTTTTGAGCTCAGTAAAATATCTCTAGGACTCCCCAGTCCGGCTGATGATTTGTACTTGACCATCTCCGCGGGAGGACATTCTCAATTTCTTACCGGGTCTCCATTGCACCTGCAAATAACTTTAGGATTTTGAAGAGGCGGTCAGTCATGACTATTCTGGGCGGTTGACCAAAGAATCGGACAACCCTCTTTGACAGGGCAAGAAGGAGCACTTTATACAGCATATTTGCATATAGATTCAGGCAATGACCTGTATTCAGATCAAGAAAATAGCATCCATTATCTCCTTTCGAGTTGAGGATCAACCCAACACCACGTATAGCCAGCCACATGTACCACTATTAACCGAGTGGAATCCTCTTCCAATGAGCCTCCCCTCTTCCGTAGGATTCACCAGGCCTTCTAGATCCTGGCATATGTCAAAATGATCAACCCGGTCAGGGGTCAACGAGGACTATATGTCCGCTTGAGCGGGGTATATCTAGCAAGCTACGGCCTTTATCCGGATCACTTCCAGGGTGCCAACTCGACGACGGTAGTGAGTGTCAAGCATTCCGGCGCGCGGATTGCTTCTTTCATACGGAACAAGACTCGCGCTCGGCTACAAAGGCGGGTATCTGCACATTATAGTCTATGTTATGATCTTATACGCAATACAATTTCATTGGTGCCGTTCTTGCTGATACTGAGCATGCATTGGGCTCGAAATACAACCCGTCAGGTTCATCAAAGGGGCGGAAAGGAGACATCTCTCCCCAAGGACTTGGCCACCCAGTACCCCAGAGCTTCCCGAGCGATGTTATTCGAAGACCAGTTTCGACTGGGGTGGACGCGATTAGCAAAAAGAAGGAAGAAGGTGTTTGACGGCCTGTCAATCACCAGAGTGGTCCCTGTGAAGCCGGTATGGCTTGCAGTCTGAAGACTGGCCATTGGGCCCGCCGTGTAGTACTGATTCAGCTCGAATCCCAATCCGTGCTCATCTCCCGGGAATCTCGCGTTGAAATTATGAAAGATGAGATCTACGACCTTTGGTGACAGGACACGATGGCCTCCATAAGTGCCGTTATTCAGAATCATCTGACAGAAAACAGCCGTATCCTCGACCGTCGAAAACAGGCCTGCATGTCCGGACACGCCATCCAGAGCCCAGGCATTCTCGTCGTGGACGGTCCCACGAACTGGCTGTGGGCGCTGTGGCTCCATTGGACCCAGGACCTCGATCTGGTATTCCTCGGCTGCCATGCGCGGATAGAAGGGGAATGCTGGGCCTTGGATGTTTCCCCGGTTGAAGAAGGTGTCATGCATGCCGAGGGGGTTGGTGAAGTCCCGAATCAATTCATCGAGGCTTTTGTGGGTGATGTGTTCCAGAAGTAGACCAAGGGACATGAAGTTGAGATCCGAGTAGAGATAAGTGGATCCGGGAGCATTGCTCAGACTCTGATTCAGTATTGCAGCGGTCCTCTCTTCGACCGTCTTATACACCGGAGAATACAACGGGGGTTCTGGATCTGGAGCAAAGCCAGAAGTATGCGTCAGAAGCATCAGGACGGTAATGTTCTCTTTCCTATTTGCTGCAAACGATGGCATGTAGGACGCCACTGTTCTGTTCAAGGAGAGTCTACCAGCGTCAATCTCTCGCAGGGCTGCAACGGTGGTAAATAGTTTGGTTAGACTGGCCATATCATAGATGGTGTCTGTTCGTGCAGGCAGTTGCTGCGACGGAGGCAATTTGGTGCCATTGACATCGGCATACAGCAACATCTTTCCGTTGGCAAAAAGTGAGACAATCGTTCGTTCATGACCCATGATCACCGCAGACGATGGTTCGATTGGGTATGTCTCATTGTGCGTGAATGCTCCATAGTTGGCTGGCTGTTGATAGCCAGTGATGTTGGTCTCCAGTTGGCGGAGGGGGGCTGACAGAAGGCCTACGGATTCGGGTGTACCAAAACGGAGGGTATCCTGGCCGGATTGATGAGGGATTGCATGGCTGGCGGTGCCAGATAATGCAAGGATCAAAAAGTAGGATAGACGCATGGTGGAGACTTGTTAATGTTGATGGCGAAATTGAAGCCCTTGCAGTGTTTATATATACTTCGTCTTCCCCTCATTCTGTCGATGTATGCTTAGGTTTTCCCCTGAATCATCCCCAATTGATACAGAGCCAAAGTCAAGATACATAAGCGAATGTAACATGAATGTAACATTGTATTCATCCTTCGTATTCTGGTCTGTTGACGGCATGCTTTATCATTTTATTAGGCGATAATATCCGGTGGGTCGTCCAGACAAAAGCTTGACTGCTGCCAGGATCAGCGCCCGCATTTCCAAGATTCTGACAGCTCCATCATATGCTAGTACCAGAGATAACTCAACAATAATTGAAAGAAGCTAGCCTAGCAAGTTCATGTTAGAAACTTGTCCAAGCCAATGAGATCATGGATGATCCGATATTTAAAAGACAGCGGCAGCTTACTTGATCTTGTCCTTTATCACATCCCGGTCATCCATCGACCACACGTCCAATCTCATCCACTCGCAACAGGAAAAACGAAATAAAATGTCTGCTCATCTTCAATAGAATTATAAACATTGATCAGAGGAAAAATGCCTCGGTCGCAGGCCTTTCATGCAGGTCGAAAGCCCCTACAGGACCAACGAGTGCCACTTGGATCACCCCACATCTCTGGTCCTGTGGCCTTTTGCAATCCAACACGGGCGCATTTTCCATTGTCTACGCATCCACATCTTGACCAAGAAACCATCCCAAGGCCTCACATCGAAAGACTCTGGCGCTCTCGGGATAATCGTAAAGGACGACATGCGCTCACCATCCGTCAGCGACCGCCAGGAATCGAAGGCAAGAATTACCCCCGCAAAACAATCCACCCGCTTGCCATCCTCAAAGGGATTCTTCGCATGTTCACGACCTTCCCTTACTGGGACATTTCCTTCTTGGTGGCTTTTGTCTTTACGATCGGATCTGTGATCTGGGTCATCAACGCCTTTTTTGTCTGGTTGCCGTTGGAGGATCCATCCACTGAATTTGCAAATGAAGTCCTTACCGGCGGAGGCGTCACGGCCTTTATCGGCGCGACTGTCTTCGAAATAGGCAGTATCCTGCTGGCTCTGGAAGCAGTCAACGAGAACCAGACTGGCTGCTTCGGTTGGGCAGTCGAGACGACCTACAAGGAAGCCGCAGATGAAGTCGAACAGGCTGTCGTGCGAATCAAGTCCGACATGGACTCGTGTCTGCATCATCATGCTAACCGCCGCTCGTTCCTGACTCCATCAGCGGCCAGGCAGGACTCGCACAGACACACCGCGACTGGTGGCAAGCGATCGTTCGCATGGTTTCCCACCCTGGCCGAGCTCCGCACCCATTATCTCCACGAGATCGGGTTCTGGGCTTCGTTCGTGCAGCTCATCGGAGCTACCATTTTCTGGATCGCTGGGTTCACCGGCCTTCCCGGCATCATTGACCATATGAGCCAGGCAGTCACCAACGGCGTATTCTGGGTCCCACAGATCGTCGGTGGTTCGTGCTTTATACTCAGCGGGCTGCTTTTCGCGCTAGAGACGCAGTCGAAGTGGTATATCCCTGCCATCCATATCCTCGGCTGGCATGTCGGGTTCTGGAATTTCATCGGGGGAATTGGATTCACCCTGTGTGGAGTGCTGGGGCCAGCGACGGCCAACTCGGGGGTCGACTATCAGAGCACTCTGGCGACGTTCTGGGGGTCCTGGGCGTTCCTGTTGGGATCTGTGATGCAGTGGTACGAGAGTCTGGATAAACATCCCGTGGAGGAGAAGCAGTAATGTGTCCTAGTTCATGTCTATTGTAGTTGCATGTATCATATATTGGCTAGTATAAACATTCCACCTGCAGTCACCCCAATCTCATCCTCAACAACACCCCCGCATCCCCAATAAGCTTCACACTCTGCAACACACTCGGCGACACGCCATGCCCCGGGATATGCATCCACTGCGTCAGCAGCTTGGCCAGATGGGGCCCCATCTCCGCCACCTCGGGCGCTAAGCACCCCCGTAGCGCCGTCAACCGCGATGCAGCCAGAGTTATCAGCATCACACTCGCCATCCTACATTACTATCAGCAGAATCCGCGGTCCAAGGGAACATACATACGACAACGAGCAGATCCATGTATCCACCAGCACCGTATGAGGATAACTCCCCAGGTTCTGCGCGTGCAGCCAGCACGCCTCGAGACAGATCTTGCACCCTTCGAAGAGCTTCGCCGGGAAATGCTCCACCGTCGCGGTGGCGGTCATGGAGAGCGCCCAGGTGAGGTACGGGCGGTAGATGACGCTCTTGCAGGTGAGATAGCGCTGGCGGAGGAACGCGCCGGCAGTGCATGCCAGTGGACGGAGGTCGACGGTGAATTGAAACGGGGGAGGGAGGAGGTCCTTCCATTCCTCGAGCTGGTGGGCGAGTTCGGCGACGACGGAGGGAAACTGGTGGTTGTCGAAGGCGACGCCGGTGTCGCGGGCGTAGAGGAGGTTGTGGACGCGGTTGAGGAGCCGGCGCATGGAGATGCAGGCGAGGAAGTAGAGGGAGGATTGTTCTTCGTCGGTTTGCGAGACGTGCGTTTGGTATTCGCCTGGGAGGGGGATGGACGACTCGATGTCGGCGATGCCGGTTTGCGGGAGGGCGGAGAGTTCGGCCAGGTAGTCGCTTTCTGGTCAGTTGGATGCTGAAGATAAGGGAGGTGCATACCTTTCTAGGATATAGCAGGACCAGAAGATCCGACGGAGACACTCTTGCTCTGCTGGGTTGGCGTCAGGGTTATGGTATGCTAAGAGGAGACGGCATTTGGCGGCAGTGGCGTGGATGAACGACCAGGCTTGTAAGGGACGCTGGAGGAATGCAAAAAAGATGCTGGAAAGGTCAGAAGGGTATTAACTTCTTGGTATGGGGGATATACGCTGTAAAGAATAAACACTGGACTGCATCAACAGAGCACTCGGCCTGCGCCAGATAGATTTTCTTGAACGCGCAATCGAAATAGATCTCGCCCATCGCTCGCCGATGACTGCGGAGCTCCAGCTCTTCCGAGTCAGGTTCCTCATTAGCCGCATACGAGCAGATCAGTTCACTCGCGCAGCCCAGTGCCATGACCAAAAGTGCCAGGCAGGACCTGACGCTGTCGCCAAACACACCCGCAGCTATGTGCACCTGGACCTCGGCTGCCTGGGCTACCGACATAGTGGGATACCAAAAGTTGACGTTGCGCTGGAAACTATGCACCACGCGGTCGATTTCGCTGCGGCTGGCATACGGGTGCACCGTCGCTGCACGGGGCGCGAGTGGCGAGCGACTGGACTCTAGGTGAAAGACGGAGAAGCTGTGATCTTCCCGCAGGGACTGGAAGTCGTCGAAGTGCGGCCATGCGAGGATGGACTCGGTGGTGGAGGCATGAAAGGCCGACAGAGTGGCATTGGAGATGCGATCGTCAGGGCTGCCAGGGCGATGGCCCGCGTTGATTGTCGAAGGAGAGATTATGGCTGTTGGAGATGTATGATACTGCGACGAGGCTTTACCGTCCAGCATCCCTGACACCCTGGCCTAGTTGGGTCAGTGAAAGGTGTGCAGTCGCGTCAGAGGGCTCTACCAATTGAGCGGACATATCCTGAAGCAGTCGCTCAGAGCGAACCGCCACCTCGAGAATCAAATCACTTTTATTCTTGCTGTAGTCGGTCAGCCAATGTGCAACCCAATGTATGGGAATACAGACGGGACTGCCTCGGTGCCGTAGACGCATTCATCGCCTATGTTGGCGCATGTTGTGCATGGCTGTCGACCATCGCATCTGCTCTATTCAGTTGCACTCCAAATTGATAATCGATACAGACGAGCCATACCTCACTTTTCTGTATCGACAGGGGTCACACTGTCCGCCGATCAGCAGGGGTCGGCCCAATTAGAGGAGAGGAAGCATACTGCGTGGGAAGTTCTCTTGCGCTTACGATAGTCGGGCGTCTCCTCTAGCGACATGATATGCTACCTAGTAGAAAAGACCAAATCATCAGGCAGAAACAACCTAGTGAGACAGAGCAGGAGGAATCAGCGCGATTGACCCGAAATGAAGATGAAGATCTCTTCCCCGCATTCCTGCCTTAGCAATTCGTCTTAGCCAATCACGGGCCGGAAAGGCTTCCCCAGAAAAGGCCAGATAAGGGCATTGTGGACAGGAGATAGAAATGAATTATATACGTTATTTTGAAATTTGCAAAAGCCCTGTGGATTCAATCATACATTCATTTGGCTTAGATAGGTTCAGCTATTGAAATCATTAACTAGTAAAAATAGAATAGACTACGCTTTAGTATCCCCCTGAACCTCCAGAGTGTTCAAAACAGAGTTGATATCTCTCTTCTGCAGACTCTTCTTGACCGGATTGGGCGCCTCAAACACCTCGGCCAGTTCCTCGAGAGTTCGTTCCTTGGTCTCAGGGAAGTAGAACCAGATGACTACCGCCTCGACCAGATCCCAGCCCACAAACACCAGGTAGAAGTAGTAGTGGATCTTGTCAAAGGCCGGGCCGGACGCATATTGGATGATGGTGCTGCTGATGCTGGACATGAGATTGCCAAAGGCCGTACCCTTGGCGCGGGTGGTTGTCGTGAGAGTCTCGGCAATGTACATGCTCTGCAACGGCGTCCAGCCAAACGAGAAGACGATACCGAACAGGTAGATGAATGCGATCGCCGTGTTGGCCGCATTGGAGTTATCCGGATTGTCTGTCGCCATCTTCGAGGTTCCGGTAATGATCGCAAAGGCCACCGAGCAGAAGAGCAGCGAGTATATCATCAAGGGACGACGGCCAATCTTGTCAGTCAACCGGGCACCGGTGACCGCAGCCACCAGGCAAATGGCCGGGTAGATGCCGTTGAGCATCAGCTTGGTCTTTTCATCGGTAATTCCGGCGTTGGCCACCATGTTGGGCAGATAGTACGAAGTAACCGAGTTACCGGACAGCTGTCCAAAGCACGCCATACCAACGACGCAGATCA